TTGATTTGGATCTTTGAACTTACAAACGTTGACACACTCTTCGATAGGCGTACTAATTTACTTGGTTTGGCATACGTCGACTAATATTTTGAAATTTCGTTTGACGTGTAAAACGACAATTTTGTTCAAACCCACACAGTTCTCGTGCCTTTATCAATGCATATTTCGAATATGACCAGAAGCCAAATGACCACAAGCCATTCAGAGTCTTCGGAAGCAGAAATGAATACAACAACTTTGTTCATTAATTTGAAGGTTTTTTACCATTATTAAAATTATCACATTTAGGTCGATAAATTCTTGCCATTTTGAGGGTAATATCAAGCTTTTCTTCAGGCGGATTTTTTTCCAGTAAAATCATTCGCCATAGATAAGAGCAAGTAGTAATCACTTGGTGCCGAACCAGTCTATAAGATGGATATTTAAGAACCAACTAAGCTCTCGAAGCTCCTGGCGAGTCATTATCCGTGTATGTGCCCTAGTATAATCCTTTGGAAATTGAAAATCATCGAATCACTATTAGGGAAATTCCAGAGGATGTTGACATATCAATTGGCTAATGCCATTCAATTTTCTCGAACGTTTGGGGGCATGAAACGTGTGGCATCGAAGTTTATTCTGAAATTGCTAAATTTTCTTGCAAAAGCAATGTCGCATTAGCATCGCTCAGGAGGCCAAAAACAAAACCGTAATCATGCCTCAACCATCGTATTCACCAGATTTGACTTCTTGCGACGTTTTTCTATTCACAAAACAGAAGAAACCTATAAAAGGAAAGCGTTTTGCCGCAATTGATGAGATCAAGTCAGAATCGAAGAAAGAGCTGATGGCCATACTGAAAAGAGCATTTCAGAAATGCTTCGAGGATTGAAAAATCGCTGCCACAAGTGTATAATGCCTTTAATTAAAAATTTTGCAAAATACTGCTCTAATAGTGAAAGTAAAGATATCTTAAAGTTACTTTGGTTGACCCAGATAAATTAATACAAGTTGTACCCTGAAATTAGAAACTTCAAATAACGATAAAATGGAAATGAATACTACGCTGATTCATTACTAGGATAATACTACTCATACTTTAACTTAAGCGCACGTAAACTACTTTAACATATTGCCACATAATATTTGTTTCGCTCCCAGCTAAGAAAATACAATAGAGAACGAGCTTGCGCACATTGGTTTCTTATTATCACGTGTAAACATATTCTACACCCCAAGCCCCAATGTCAAGAGAAAGAACTACAAAACCAATAGAAATGGCAGCACCTCACTCAACATTTAATGCAATTGGCAATAATAAAATAAATAAATGAAATTCTCGATTATAGTATGTCTTTGTGTCAAAAATGGGTTGAATCAGATCAATACGAGTACTTCCTTAAATATAAAATTTTGCCAACACCTAAAGTAATTTCCCTGGATTTGATTTTTGCAAGTTGCGAGAGTGTAAAATGTTTGGTTACACCCGAACTTTGCTCTTTCTTACTTGTTTTTTAATGATTTTACTTTATTCATATCAAGGTTTGAAATCCCGAAACCTAAAAACTATTTGTAATTTTTAATCACAAGTACCGGATTGAAACTTAAAACAAACATCTTAACCCCATATACCAAATTGAAAAACAAAATTTGTAATTTGTGATTCGGCAGTTGGGATTAAAAATGTATTTTTAAGCATATAATTATAAATTCAAAAATTAAATTGCTATTGCTATTAATTCAAAAATTTAATTTTTCATTTTTGAATTTAATTGTTAAGAATAGAATTAGAATTGATAATATTAAATCTAATTGGCAAAATTACGATTACTTGTTTGTTAATGCACACTCACAGCATTGCAGTTCGCTAAAGATCATACAGAATGTCTGTTAAGGTGGAAAATAGTTTTTTTCAGTAATGAGTCCAAATTTAATTTGGTAGGAAGTGATGGCGTGTGTTACGTTCGACGCCCATGAGACAAACGTCTTCAAAATTCGTATTGTCTGAAAAAAGTCAAACATTGTGGCTGGGAAGGCTTTTCTGCTCTTGGTTTAGGGCCACTTCATCGTATTAATGGTACCATGTATCGATACATCTTCAGAGACATTATGGAATTCGTAATGCTGCCACATGCTGAATGGGAAATGCCACTTAAATGAGTCTTCCACCAACAGGACTACGTCCCGAAGCATACAGCAAGGTTCTAAAATCATGATTCTAAAATAATGGACATAATCCACAAGACCTTAACCCAATTGGAAATTGTAAAAAAGAGAATTAATCGCAGTAATGTGGCAAATTCTGATCAGTTATTCCGAAGAGTCCTGGAGGCATGGAGAAATATACCCCAAACCATAGTGAATAACCTTATAGCTTCAATGCCGCGGAGTCGCAAAGCAGTTATTGAGAGCAATGGGTTGCCACAAAATACTAAGTTTTCATTTTAATTTATTAAAAATAATGTACCGTTTTCTTTGTGTTGCAATTGTTTTGTCTGATTGAATATAAATGTTATATCGTTTTTTTTTTTATTTACATTATACACATAAACTGTGAAATTATAATAAATTTGTTTTCTTTACCTTAATCTACATCCAATATTTAAAATAAAATTTAAATAGGTCGCCGGCAATTACGGTATTTGTAAACGACAGTATTTTCATTATCATATTTCAGTTGCAAATGTTTTGACCGATACTGTATATGCTCTTTTTGACGTTTCGCTTACGTATTGATGAAGTAACAAAGTATTTTAGTATGAAATAATATTTGAATAAATTAGAAAAAATATAAAAATTTAATTTATAAATTATAATAACATATAATATCATGGGCAAAATAGTTTTGTGAGTCATTGTACATTTATGTATGAATGGTATGTACATATGTATATCCAATTTGATTCCATTGCATTTGGTTGAAGTTTAGCGTGCATTGCCAGCAGCGTCTTGGAGCAAGCAACAACAGCAGCTGTCACAGAGATGCAGCAATAACATCAACAATTACAGTACAACAGCAGGCACTGCACACTGCACGATAGGATACATATGTACGAATACATACACACATACCTCGCGATAAGGCATGCACACGCGTAATAAAGTGATTTGAAAAGTGAAAATAAACACAACAACACAATGCGTTCAAGTGGCAATTTTACAGTGCGCTTCCTTTCGCTTTATTTCTTGCTTTGCTTCCACTATTGTTTTTATGACATTTTCGCTAATGTTTGAAGGTGCGTTGAATATCTGTTAGCACCCATTAGGAAATTAAGTTGAGTTATTTAACCAAACGAAATTAGTTTGCATCGCTTAGAAATGGAAAGCTCGCTATGTGTATTTGTTTTTATTGCTATTACAAATTGTGGCACAGTCCGCCATTAGAGAGTATGAATGAGGTTTACACCACAAAGCGCGCCTAATTGACCTTGAACGAAAACATCAACTTGAACTTAATAACTAAAGTGTAGTAATATTATTTTTAAAAACTTTATGGACTGAAATTGCGAAGGTGCTGTTTGCAGTTTATGAAGACCACATAAACAAAACCAATCTTTAAGTTTTCAGTAACAAACATGTTATTTTTTTACAAGGATACAATCATACACAAAGTTTTACAAGGATACAATCATTGTTTCTTGATTTGCATAGTGGAAGATGAAAAAATCAGATGGAATTTAAAATGGTGTTATATGGGAAATAGGCGTGGTTGTAATCCGATTTCGTCCATTTTCGCACCATAACATAGAAATATGAGAAGAGCGTAATTACTTTTTGGTTTAAATCGATGAAGCAGGTCCCAAGGTATGGGTTTTCACCTAAAAGTGGGCGGTGCCACGCCAGTGGTCCGATTACGCCCATCAGCAGTACCAACCGTCTTACGGTACTAAGTAACATGGGTACCAAGTTTCATTAAGATATCCCGGCTTTATAACCGACCAAAGATTCTATACCCGGCATCATTCCTGAAGATTTGCAGCAAAAACAAAAACATCTAATTTGCAATGACCATGCGATTTATGTCCAAATTCTATGAAGAGAGCATCTGTTTTTTTTGCAATTTAAAGCAACTAAAAGTTAGACCTCTGTTGTACGACAGCCAACAGGTTCGACCCAGGATTTAAACAGATTGCAACATCTGCGTTAAATATTAGAATTAAGAGATTAAAAAACATATTACAACACATTTTAAAGAGGGCCAGCTTTGGGAATACTGATATCCCACGCATCATATACAATTTTATTTTAATTTTGAGTAATTTTATTTGTAAATTATATAAAACCATATTTTAACATTGCGTTACTGCATCCGCATCCCATGTGATATCTTCCTACCTAATGCATTTGCATGTACCTCGAAATCAAATTATTGGTATTTAATTTATATAGAACGCGTTCGAGCACACACTGGCCATAAAGCACTTTTGGTTGGCAAAATGCATTAAACAAGAGTGCAGCACAAACGCAACATTTTACAACGATATCGCTACTGCAACATTCAGCCAACTTTTAGTTAACAACAACAAATTAAAAGTAAAATATAAATAAAAAATATAAACAAAAAATGCCAAAATAATAAAAATAAATAATTAAAGATTAAAGACTAAAAAAAAAACTAAATTTAATAAAAAAAAATATATAGCAACCGCAAAGATAAAACTTTTGAATGTGAATGAATTATGCTGAAAAAAATGAAAGAGCACTTAGAAGTACATATGTATGTATGTCCATGCAGACATACATACATATTTATGTACGTACGCACGTACAAATTGTATTAAGATATATCGAAACTGTATACAAATCCAGACGAACATAAAAAAAAACAAAATATGCAAACGTATTGCTACACGTATAGCAACATGTGATTGTGCATGCATATGTATGTGTTTTTTTGGCCGAAAATATTTATGAATGCATACATGTACATACACACTTAGGTATATGTTTCATTGGTAGTACTTTATATACTACGACAACTGTATATATATGAAAGAGTAAATATGTATGTATGTACTTACAATCCAAATGTTTCTTCTTGGGCCCGATGCACTCCTCTGTGGTGGCCTTGCACACTGACTTAGCCAGGCCTTGACCGGCAAGGCTATGTCGCGCTGCCAAGAGCCGATCGTTGATGGTCTGCCCTGCCATAGTCATGATGCTGCCGCTTTTTAATTTGCTGTGCGTTTTTCTGGTGCTATCTTAGCAGAGTTCGAAGCTGGAGTTGGACTTGAAGTCAGTGATAGAATAGTTATGGTGTTTACGCTCACTGCTTGACAACTATTATTACTGTCTGTTTAAAGTACCGTTATTTCCTTTTTTACAATTTTTGTTTATCACGTTTCGCCCTATAGGAGTATATGTTTTTTGACGAAGATGGGATTTGAATAAAATTGAGCTTAAATAGTTTGATTTATTTTGAGTTAGAATTCATTGAGTGACAACTTATCTTCTTATTTATAGCACAAGTATTGAGCAAGTCTGTTATGACATTAACATATGACAAAAATTAAATTATTTTAGTTTATACAAATAAATAGTTAAGTATTACTATTTATTTTAAAAATTTTATATTTTCGATCACTAATCTTCTTTAAACGAAAATATGTAATAATTTAATTTATCTTATTGAAACAGCAGAAGACAGCTGTTTACAACAGACAAAAATTTTGCTAAATCTTTAAATAAATACAAACACTTTTTGAGACATTTATCTTTTTACCAGTGTCAGATACTTTTGACGATTTTTATTTAAGATTCTATAACAAAAATTTCATTCATGCTTTTTACCACACATTTCTAAGTACTTACACACAACTTGTAGGCACTGAATATATAAAAAGGCTTTACAAAAATGACTTTAAATTTGTGATGCGATTGCGGCATTTGCGGTTCATTCGCTGATTGCAACTAGCAATATTTGATAGGGGCGTACAAATTCAGTACGTACAAATGGCTGTATATACATACATAAGTTGAAACCACTTTAATATTTTCTTATCTGCATGGTAGTTAAATATTTTAAATAGGCGTTATAGTGCTTACATAAGTACATATAAGTACATATATGTGTACATTAATTTTTTAAAATTAAAATTCAACTTAAAGGAGATATGGAACATTATTTTTGTTTGGGAAATAGGGAAACTTATATATTTCAATTATATATACAACATATGGCTAAGAATATACTATCTATTAATGACATCAAAATTTAAACATTTACCGAATAAGAAGCGTGCATAAAAATATACAATTTATCTCTTAAATGAACCTCTAGCCTCATACAAAAATGTATGTCTGTATGTAAAAAAAATGGTTCGCGGGATTGCAATTTCTAACAAATGTGATAGCAAGAATTATTCATAAAACGAACAGAAAGTTATAAGGCACCTAAATTATTTGTTCCCATCACCACGCCAAATGTGTACCAGTCCATTACGAAATCGATAAGTGCTGGGAACTACTAGAGCGTCGGACGGGCTGACGCCAAGTAAAAGGACAAAACCGCCCTTACATTTAAGATATAATGTACTAGCAAACGGTCTATACATAAGTAGCGTAGTTATATGTATATACCTTATGTATCATCATTGAATGTAAATAGAATATAAAACTTGCACTTCTAACTAAAATTCGTACAACCAGATATTTAGCTACCAACTTCACTACTTTATCAAACAAGTAGGTTCCTCCATCCTAATTTTTCAAATTTACCACCCTCAATATCATCTTGGGGAATAATTTCACAATGGCTTTACTACAAGGCGCCTGAGTAACTGGCGTAGTTCAAAGCGCTACGTTGACGTTGTTGAAAGCGTCAAAATTGACGCCGACGTTGGCAGTGGCGCCACAAAAATCAATGCCTGTTAGCTGCAGCTGCACCTGTACGTAGTTCGCAATTTCCAAATGATAACTTCAAATATATGTAGTATACTTTTAACTATTTCAAGAATGGCGGTAATTAAAAGTCCATTGCACACAAACTGCCAACAAGGCAGAATACCCATTATTGCAGAATTTATTTAATCATAGTAGTATCATATATTGTGGTACCCACTAGATGTGGAGCTTTTGATTGGCCACAATTCGGTAAAGCCATAGCCACGTACAACACGCACTTGCTTGCTCTTTAGACCTCATTTGTTGCCAGCGAAGATGAAGCACCGAAACCTCAAATGTCCTAAGGCAATTAAAATTATTCTTAATTTCTATTTGCACAACAATTTTTTTGTCACTACTTTCATATTTATCGTTATAAATATAGTATGTATATTTTTTCAACTTCGTTTCTACATTCTTTCTTTTACTGATTGTTAATCCACATTGACACTCACTTTTATATTTTTTCCAACCAACTGGTTTCGGCTTTTGCACAGCGCTTTAAATTCTTCACTTTAATTTGCACCAACAAATTTTTTGCACTCAATTCATATAATATTTCTTTTATAATTACTATTTGGCTAAGAATTTGAATACAATTAAAGTTTATTCTTCACAATTCTGCGCGAGTTTAAATTTTATTCTTTCGATTTTTCCAATTTGAGTTCCAACACCTCTCCACTCTTTTCTTAACCATGTATGTGTGATTCGTGTCAATCGTTTGGGAGAAAAAACTTTCTGGACGTCGATTTTGATTCCTCTGCTTTTCCTGCTGCTGCCACTTCTAATTGGATTCTGCTTTATTTGACATTTATAATTGTAGGTATTGCCAGCCGACTTTTCTTTTTTTAATGTGCGTTGGCTGACTTTTGCTTTATTTATTAGTACCTTTTAATTAGCATTACATCTTATTTAATTTATTGAACACGTTTTAATAAATACAACATAAGCACAAGTACCTAAAATGGTGTTGTAATATTACAATTGATTGATCATGACATCTATTAGATGAAAATTGCAAGAATCTGAAACTCTGACAACCAGCTGTGTTTTTGTTCGAATTGATAACAATTCGAATATGAGTTGTAAAAATGAGCGCACGAATTCGTAGCGCTATCTGTGAAAAAGTAAATATTCTTTTTAATTAAAAGTCCAAATATTCTTGAAAGAGTCATAAGAACATAATGTAAAATATCATCTGATGTTAAATTTTGCTTTCAGATTTCACTGGCAACACAAATTGCTCATAATGTATACTACGAGTTGGAAGTACCGGCAAAACAGTCTGCAATACTACATTGGACTCCACCGCCTAGCGACAGAAGCAATGAATTACTTCAACTAATACCAAACTTGCAATATGACAAATCACTTATTAAAACGGTGAATCTATTACCAGCAAGTGGTAAAGTTCCAGCTCGTGTGGAATTTCAACTACAAATGCAGTCATTTGCAGAGTTATTACTGCAGGATAATGGTGAATCTGCGCCGCGGTTAGAATCTCATGTGGTATTCGATTATAGTTCTCCCAACATAGCCAAGCCGTTCCATGTCGGTCACTTACGTTCCACAATAATCGGAAATGTACTCTCTAATTTGCACCAGCATTTAGGTTATCGTGTAACACGCATCAACTATCTTGGCGATTGGGGTACGCAGTTTGGTATGCTACATTTAGGTGTTCAAATGCTTGGTATAACCAATGAGCAGATGCGTTCCAAACCAATTGAAACACTATATTCCGCGTACGTAGCTGCCAACACTTTAGCCAAAACAGATGCCAATATTACGGAGAAAGCAAGAGAATGCTTCACAAATCTGGAAAATGGAACTGACGCTGAATTGGCGCGGCAGTGGCAGGAATATCGGAAATACACTGTGACAGAATTAGAGCAAGTTTATGCGCGGTTGGGTGTACATTTCGATCAATATGATTGGGAGTCGCAGTACTCGCAACGACAAATCAGCGATGTCTTAGAGCGCTTGCAAGAACAAGCTCTTTTGCTAGACGAAAGCGATGGAAGAAAAGTGGTTAAAGTGGATGGAAGACGTATACCGGTAGTGAAAAGTGATGGATCCAGTTTATATTTAACTCGGGACATAGCAGCTGTGCTGGATCGGTTTCGACGTTATAACTTTGAACGAATGTATTATGTGGTTGATAATGGGCAAGCGGATCATTTTAATGCGCTTTTCAAAACGACAGCCGCTTTGACAACCGACATATCATTAGATCGGATGGTCCATATAAAATTCGGACGAATACATGGCATGAGTACGCGTAGCGGCAAAGTAGTTTTTTTGCGGGACGTACTTGATGAAGCGCGAGATTTAATGCTGGAAAAGCAATTGCAAAGTGCTAGTAAGTTCAAAGTATATCCACTCCTTAGACTAAGTGCTAATGTTTCTCACTTCTTTTATTTTCATACTGACAGCAACTAAAGTGGAATTGTCCAGTTCATCCAGTGATTATAAAACTATTGCCGATGTACTAGGTGTGTCTGCGGTTATCACAAATGATCTGAAACAACGTAGACAACGTGACTATGACTTCGATTGGAAAAAAGCGTTACAAGTGAGTGGCGACACGGGAATAAAACTGCAATACACACATTGCCGACTGCATAGCTTATTACAGAATCTAAAGCATATTGATACCTCCAACTGTAAGGTGGATGTAGCGCAGTTGTCAGAGCCTGAAGCGCAAAACCTATTACATGAAATAGCGCGATTTGACCAAGCTGTGTGGATGTCGAAGAAACAATTAGAAGTGTGTATACTGGTGAACCACTTATTCACACTTTGGTAAAAATTTAGTGATGCTATTTAACTATGTTGAATATATATATATATATATTTTTTTTTTTTTTTACCAATTTTAGCAACTCAACTAGTCGTGCTTTGAAGCGCTTAAATGTCAAAAATGAAGAATGCCTTAGTAAACAACAAAATCGTTTGCTCCTATTCAGTGCCGCTAAACGTAATCTAAACACAGGCATGCGTATACTTGGATTACGGCCACTTGAACAAATGTAGTTTTCGTTAAGTTTTGCAAAATATTTTTTTTTTTTGTGTGTACGTTATTGTTACAAATGTGCTCTGAAATATAGATTTTATTGAACATATCGTTTTTTTAATTTAATACACGTAAATTGTTTTAGGCGGTAACGTTAATTTTTAACGCTTCTTCCATGTGTATTTGCGGCGCGCACCTTCCTGTCCATACTTCTTACGTTCACGACGGCGATAGTCACGCTGCAATAGACCGGCTGCAAAAAAATAGTTTTGTAAAAGGTCGAATTACCATATATAAAATCAATGCGATTACATACCTAACCGCATCGACTCCACCATTTCTTGATCCACGAAGCTGCGCAAACTCATTGCTATGCCCCAACGAATAGCACCCGCCTGACCAGAGGGTCCACCGCCTTCCACGTTGGCCTCGACATCAACTTTTCCAATCATTTCAGCAAAAATAAGCGGAAAAAGAACCTGAAAAAGATATGGTGTACATTTATTACAAATTTGTTTTCAAGTTGACAAAAATACTTTCTTCGATCAAAACAAGTATAATAATTGTTGTAAAATTAAAAATTTTGAAAAAAAATTTTGGAAATAGGAATCGGAGCGGTGTTTTAACTTGTCTGTATCTTCTTTAGTTTCGATCTGTTGTATCCAGGCACCCATATTAGAGTTGCATAATTATTGACCGGCCTTGTAAGTGGCCAACAATTTGTTTCTTCTTGCGCCAGGTGCTGGAAGGAGTATGGTACAGACTATCAAACGGATTCTTCCGATTTCTCACATCGGGTATCCGAAGTGACAGGTTGAGGTTGACTTTACTCCCGTCGTTTACGGCTAAAGTAGGTCGCGCAATTCTTCGAGTCAGAGGAGGCGTGACCATCGAATTGGATTTCAACCCGGTCGTCGTGTCTCCCCGGATTGGACAGGGATTTAACAGTTGCAATAAGTGATCTACTCATTGGCCGAATCATAATGCACAATTTTTAATGGTCTTGTGTTCCGCCAACTCCACTTGCCTACGATTAATTGACAGGCATGAATACCAAAGATGTGGTGCGCGTTAAAGTCGCCTAGTACGAATCGCTTCTCACCGTAAAGTAGCGCAGCTATGTTCGGGTGGTATCGGGTATGTCGCAGTAAAATAGTGGTAAACTTGGGAATGAGGGAGTGGGGTACCAAAACTCGTAAATATAAGTAGTAAATTTTTTGTATTAAAAATATGTATATAAGTTAGCAAATAAGTTGCAAAACCTTTATTTATTTGCGAGTACGGCAGCGCACCTTTTCGGCATAGATTCCACTAGAGCTTTACAGACTGAATTCGGTACCACGCCTCTGGGACTTATGTCCATAGTTCCTCCTTATTTCGTTGTTTTAATGAGTCCCTACTTTGCCTTTACAATCTTCCACAGTCTTTCTATAAGATTTAAATCCGGAGATTGCGCAGGCTAAGTTATAACATCGATTCCACGGACGGACAGACATATCTATCTCGAATAGTTTTAGGTGACTTATAACATAATTAACTTGTGCATTTCTTATAAAGTGTACAAGTGAAAGCCATCCAATTTTCAACAATCAAAATTTAATGTGTGAAAAATATAATATGTAGGTATATATAAACACTGTTGTTGTCATAGCGAGATATACTTGTATAAACACTCTTCCAGGTCAGTTCACTTTGGAACAAAGGCAGACAGTTTCACAATGAACACGAACAACCACAAAATTCAGAACAACTACAAATATGTACAAATAATCATCGACAGGTTGACGCGTTTGCTTGAATCCGATTTTGTTTCATTTACTTGCATATAGTACATGAACAGATTGGTATATATACTAGTTATACATTCGGGCACAGAAAGTCGAGATAGTATTTCATTTGACCGATTAAATGCCAAATAATGAAAAATTCAATTTCATGGCAATGTGAAAATTCGTAATTTCCATAACAATACAATTTCCTGTGCCAACATTTATATTGCATTTGCTTATACTGACATATACCTAGGTATACGTATTTAAAATGTCTATGCAATTACAAAAGTCGTCAAATAAATAGTTAGCTTCTCTTTGATCACCACATAAGAACCAAAATAAACTAAAACAAAAACTTTTAAATAAATACTTTTCGAAAGCTTAACTTAACATAAGATAGTTAAAATTTTTAAAGTTGTTAAAACACCTCGGCAAAAGAGAATAGTTTGGATAGCAATCGTCAAATTCTAAATGTTTGCAGCAAGACGATGCAATGAGCCATTGAACGTATGAAACCATCACTTTATCAGAATAAAATTTATGGTAATCGAATCATATTGAGCACTTATGTCATTTAACTTGATTTCGTGAAAGTACTTTTTGTGAGTATACGTCAAGTTCATTGTCGATAATGGTTACTGTTGATAAACTAGCTTTGACTGGCGGCTAGGGCGGCTATGCTGGAAAAAGTGGTGCAAAATTTCAATCGATTTTCTGTGGCTTCACATTGAGTTTGTGTAGTCATTGTATCATCTACATTTATTAAAACACCTAATTTTACTTAATAGCCTATTTTGGTCATTTCTAATACAATTTCTAGTGCACGGCATAAATTAGGCTTAGAATAATAGGGGCTTACCGAACCAACAAATATAATTAACCCCAAACGGTTTACTTGAAAGTCTTAAAGTGTACATATTTTTTGGTCGAGTATTGTCATTTACATACTCCTACACTTATCTACACATACAAGATACTTTTATGTACATACATATGTATGTAAATTTTTCGCTTCAACGGTTATACAACATTTCAAACAATCGAACATAAAATAGAATAAAAAAAGAAAGTTAAACAACTTCGAGGAAATAAATGTACTCCCATTCTATGCTAAATGCGAGTGATTGTGAGCAGTAATTACTTTTTGTTTATAGAGAGCTTGCTTTGAATTGGCAAACGGTAATTAAATATTACTCATACGTACCGGAGATATTAACCAATGAAAGGAAAGTGCAATAGCAAGTAGCGTTTACCGACGCCTAGTAAAAAGAAAAATTTTATATTTTCTGACCATACCAGACAGTATCAGCAACCCAGCTTTGCCTCTACCGCTTGCTAAATTACAACGGGCCGGTGAGAAGTAATCATTACGTTTGTATACATACATATGTGTGATTAACAACTCTGTAGCTGTCAAACGACATTCTTCGAACAACACAGTGAAGACTTATGCAAATCAATTATCATTTTTAGCATTGTAATAAAATATTACATAAATGCTGACAAAGCACTGAAAATTTCTTATGTTGCATGGGTGTATTGCTATGATCTGGAACTTGTTCCACAACTGCTTGACCAGCAGTACAGCTATGTCGCAGCAATATTCATAAGGCATGCAAAGAATCCGATGATTATAATGAAATAAGTGACTCAACTCTTTTTTAAAGCTCTAGAGCATATGCTCTTAAATATTCTTAGAATATATAAGCACGAATTTAAATAATTAGAGTTCACAACAAAGCTCGTGTTTTGGATGGTGGACCGTTGGATGTGGTATCCCGAATGTCTGGTGGTCTGGGCTGTCTGAAAAGCTCTTCTCTACGTATTTGAACTTATGGTATAAAGCAATCATGTTATAATCACGGACGTTGGTATTAGTACAGAGATTATTACTTAACGTTAAAGATAGGGAAATATATATGTAATCATATATAACTAATTGAAGGTAGTCTCTCAGAGACGCTCACTTACAGAAGGAAAAAACGATGAAAACGCTACTGTAAACTTTGCGAAAGTCACTTAGTATTGTTGCTGAGGTTCGAATTAATATTGAACATTGACCTCTTTTGAGGTCAACCAAAATAATAACAATTTTGCGTATGCACATACTAGATCCCAAAATATACTTCCAAATAATTTTTGTTATGCGACAACAATTTTAATTTTTAAGGTTAAAATTTTGTTTAAAAATGTCGAAAAACCAAAAATTAAAAATTATACACTAAGGTTCTAAAAAGCGCGCTAATTTATTATAAAAACAGCAGAACCCACTATTCGGCAATTGCATTTCAATTGCACAAACATAACTTAGAAATAGCAACGGTGCTTTCCTTTCATATATTCTCAAGTGAAACCAGATAAAACCAACTTAACAAGGGTGGGCAACTAAGTTAAGTACATAGTAGATAGAAATAAAAATAGATGACACTTAAAAACGACAAAAATTTGCTTTGTCGCCAGTATAATCAATAAAGCAGAAAAATACAATGTTACATTAAATGGCAAGGAGTTCAAAGGCAATAAAAACATTTAAACGGTTGTTTAGAAAAGTTTTACTCGTTATTTTTATACTTAAAATAAAATAGGTGGTTGTTTTTGTTGCACTGTTTCAATTGATTTTTACTTAATTGTGAGTTGGAACGAAATTTCGATGATTCTTTGGTACTTGGTTTGGTAAGATGTGATGCTGGAATGAAAAAGTTGGTTAGATCTTCATATAACCTATCAAACTCATTCCACCGAAAATTTCCCTTCGATTCAAACCAGTCGAAACAGCTCGTTTGGTGGACATAATCTAAATATATTAAATATTTATACGTTTATATGTGCCAGTTAATTGCTACAGTAAGAAGCTACACCATTCGAATAGCAGCTAAATACAAAAGTCATAGATATTCAGAAATATAATATAATATACTCGTATGGTATCATATGAAACTATCTCCAAAACCTCTGCAGCTTGGCGGTGTAATTTTACTATACTTGAGAAGTATTGTCAAACGATTTCAGTGTTTCTACGTCGTCATCATAGGCAGTTCTTGTCGCGATCACTGACGCGTATCATGTTCCATTTTCTCAAATGAACTATTAAAAAACTGCAATGCTTTTAAATACGAGTTGTTCATTTGTGAAGAGGTGGCCAAAGCTATTGTTCTCCTTATTGAAAAGAAACCACTGCTCAGTCTAAGAGAAGCTAAAACAATTTGGTCAAAAAGGGATCTGACATCAAACGTGGCAGTAATGTAATCACAACTCTACTTTCAAAAACACACATTGAAAACAGGTTGCACTTGGAGCAAAGTACAATAATATTTACAGATGAGTAAACTTTTG